ATGGTAGTATTGATGAATAAAATGAGTAAGGTATATTTTGTCAATATGAATAGATTTTAATTCAGGTAAAAGCGCTAAAATCAAAAGTACAATCTGAATACCGCAACTAATTTTACTAATTATAATTAGACAATATGCCCATTCGCCGAATTTTAAGCGCTAGATAGTTAATGTTATGCATGATCTGTGCTATGATATCATTTATATTATTTAATCTTACATCGTGTTCAGGTAGAACCCTCTTTAGACTTTTTTAAGTGAATGGAAAGGAATGGAAGCCTTATTATCAACATATAGTAGAAAATCAATATTTAAACAAAACTTTTCACAATTATAATGTTGTGGACATTTGTTTTAAATACTCAGGCTTACAAATATGACTTTTATCCTTTTGAATCATTTGTAACCGTAGAGTCTAATGTTAAAACTAATTCATTGTATTTCATAGCATTTGATATGAAAATCATAAAAATGATTGTTTTTAAGTTCATTTCATTCGTTGATTCAAAGCTTAAGTTTAATGTCATGAATGAGTTTTAACATTAGACTTTACGGCTAAGAATGATTAAAAAAATTACAATTCATATGTTTTCAATTAGGATTTGTAATCTATTTTCATATCAAATATAATACTTTATACTTTAATTTATGATATTACAAAACTTTAAATTATTATTACAATTATAGAATATGATAACAAAAATTATATTTGTCACTTTATAGCTACTCCAACTGTGGCCACACAAAAAGGGTGATTAACCCGATTGGCCGCCTGTGTTCGGTGGCTTCGCATTTGATTCCCGTTATAATCGATGTCATGATATCTACACTAAACTGTTGTCAGATAACTAATAGTGAATCCTAATAACCAAATAAACACTTCAAACATCTTTGGTAAAAATATTTTTACTTTGAAAATAAGATAATTTCAAAATTTTAGTCAAATAGTCCTGTTCAAAGACTTTTCATTTTATCTTGATGAAATTTGGATTCTTGTGCCTAAGAATGTCAACTTAAATAATTACTAATTTCACAATTCTATTTACACGGCTTGATAGGTAGGCCACCTATATATCATTTCTACCAATATGATATATGATTTAACAAATCCATATTGCCCAATCTGACTGACGTAATCTAACTTAAGATTTTTACAAATTAAAATGTAATTACAATAATCTAAAAATTATAACAATGCATTAAAATTTTTAAATATTATTTAAATGAATTCTTTGAGTAGGTTTTGGCCTAAAAATAAGTACATTTATATTATATTTATATTATATTTTAAAACTGGTTATTAGTATTGAATTTTAAAATTTGTATAAGTTTATTGGCCCACAATAAATAATTTTTTATATTGTACTCAAGAGTTTGTTTGGATTAAAGTTATCGTTTTTAATTTAAACACTTTGCATACAATAAATCAAATGCTTATACATATTTATAGTGTCAAATATAGTGTATTAATTCAATATACAATGTAGATTAATTTAATGGCATGATATGTAATGAATTTTTATTAATATTATTATAACAATGAGTTGAAGCAATTTGGATCCAATTGTATGGCTTTTGTGATATAAAGTTATAAATATATTATATTGTGAGTCAAAATCTTACAATATATGGGGTTTAGATTGTATTGTTAGCGTGTAATGAAAATTACAAAATATAGGGAATATTCTGTACAACAAGTGCTATCAATACTTGGCTTTTAAATGTTCGTTCAATTCTGTGACGTTATAGCCATCTATTATACGAGTTTCAAACCATATTCACAATTCTTGCCGTTTGTGAATCTCAAACTTTAAATTCTATGCAAACATTTGCAAAAAAAATAATTATTTTAACAAGTAAGTTGTATATTAATTTTATAAAGTATAAGTAAAGTAATTATTTATTTATTTACAGTACATTAGTTTGGATTATTTTTTATCAAATAGGATGTAATTTAATTAAACATTTTACAAAATACTATAGAATGCTGTACTTAACTCAATTTTTAATACATAAAAAATTACACATTAAATTGAATTTGTTCAAATTATTTTTTATTGATAATAAATTTAAAATACATATTTAGCTAAATTTATAAATAAACATGACTTTAAATTTTAGTTATAAGTAAACAATGAGTTTATAATTTATTTGACGTTAAGGTTTAAATTTGTATTTTAATAAAATCAAATGGTATTTAACGTCAAATAAAGTATTGTCACTTTTGACATGTATCATTTAAATAAAAACAATAGTATATTATTTAATAACCGACTATTAATTTTGTTCAGTTTTCATGTTTTGTTTGATGGCCTGAGAAACAAGTTGTCGGTAGACATTCATATTGGGCCAAACGGCCGGAATTGTAGTCCGCTTTTTGAAATAACTGGCACAACACCGGCGGAAGCTCTCTAAACCTTTCAGTTAAAAAAATATGATTCAATTAATTGGTGTAAATAAAAAAAGTAAGAAAATTAATGCACTTTATATGATATACTGTAATATACGCATAGATTTACAATGAATACCTCGAGCAGTGTTGCTGTCAGTGCATGACTTAACACAAGTATCGCCGCAAAGGTCGCAATTAATGGCTTCGCCATCGAGTTTGGGACTGAATTTGGTGTCAACGATGGCATCGATTTTGATGAATGAAGTGATCGATGATATCATTAACAGAGAAGTAATTAAGAATAGCAAAGATTGCATTTGGGATGTGATCGTGGGTTATATGGCTTACAAACTCAATATACTTTTTGTCAAACAATTTGAATGAATGATTGAGATATTGGTTATTAATCTTATATTTATAGTTAACAAACATTATCTGTAAATCAATAAAAGTAAATACCATTTCTATGTTATTGGAAAGCGTTGACCAACTTATAGATCAAAAAAATGCCGAAAATATAACTACAAGAATATAATTCCCAAAATTGGTTTAAAAATACATGTATTTATTAGGAATTATTCAAATATATTTTAGTAACGCTTAGCCGTTTTATGGATAAATGTTGACTTCTTTTGAATTTTGTTAAAACTTAAGTTTTGTTTTTCACGAATAAGTTATTTACATTTATATCTATATTATATGTTACAAATCACCAGATTATTGGCTTAAAAAATAATCTGATGTCATATTTAATAGATTTATTTTGGAGTCACTTTTATTACATTATTCTGTGGTCATAGAAATGAAAAAACCTATAATTGAAATTCTAGAATGTTTTAGAATTGCGAATAGATTTGAGTGAATGAATGAAAGGGAGAGGGAGAGAGCGGAGGAGAGGAGTGAAGATTAAATCAGACTTTATTATTGTCATACACTATGATATGATATTAACATTTTGATAGAATGATAGAATCCTTGATTTAAGGGAATGATTGGTTAATCGAAAATATGTCTCTTAAATTTCAGTCAAATTTTCATATAAACATTTAATTTAAGTTAAATTTTGGGCTAAATATTCATAAAAATGTGAAATCGTCATATGCTTTTTAACTAGATATTTTAAATGTGGTAAAATATATATACTTTACATCAAATTAATTAAACAATTTTTCATTTAAAATACTTACAAAAATTATTTTGGTTCTTTAAATATTTCAAATTTATTAAAGATTCTTGTAAATTCTGTGAATATTTTACTTAAAGTGTGAATGCTAAAATTCTATACTACAAAATAATAATGAATTTATGACAAATTAGATATTCTGTTAAGTATTTAAATAAATTACTTTTTGATTGAAGTTGTTAATTTAGTTTAAACTACACAGATTAGTGACTTATTTAGTAAATATGGATAAGGTGTAATAAAATACTGTATTTTTTAAATCTTTTAAAAGTGATATAATCATCAACTGCGGGAGTTTTTGTTATGATTTGGTCATATGATTATGCTCAAAAATTAGTTTGAATTCAACATTATGTCTATGGAAAAAATGGTAAAATTTTTATTGATTTGAGATTATTTCTAGAATAAGAGGTCAAGCATATGACCAAATCATTACAAAAACTCCCGCAGTTGATTATTATTGTGATATCATTTAAATTTCTAGACCGAATACTTTTCGAGATATTCGACTTTATAATGTTATAGTCCATTAATACCCTGTACAAATATTGTTATTATTAACATTAAATTACAAAATTTAAAACTATAAATTAAATGAACAATTTAGTGATATTGCAGAAAAGTATAAAATCATAGGTTTGACATAAAATAAATAAAGTATGTTATCATTTGTGTCAACAATGGTAATTGTGTAAACTTATTGTTTGTATGAACCAAGCCAAAACCCTAATCCAATAGACATAGTGTTAACAAAGTATCAATTGTGCGAACTTATCATTTGTGTAAACCAAACGCTGAAATTCTTTCACTTCACACAATTGATATATTACTGTATAACAAAATTTTATTCAAACCGAGAGCTTATAATTTTACATATTTTTTGGCGAACATTTATAAAAATGTATTATTTTATGCAAATATAACTTAATTTAAAAATTGAAATAAAGTGATGGAAAAAATGATGACAAACCGATATAAAGATTGACACAAAATTACATATTCATGAGAATTTTGCTTAAGTTTTTCAACAGTAACTTCTATTAAACAGCACTTGTTTTAAATGCCCTCAAAGTATAAACAATATTTTTTATCTTAAAAATTATAACATTCACTAAAAGACAAGTATTTCAAAAATAATCGATTCTTTACCATAAGTTTTGAAATATTTAATCGATGGGCAAAATGTATATCACTTTTAAAATTGATAAAATTCTCGAACGGATTATTTGGTTGAATATATTTAAAATAAGTTATTCACTTTAAACCAGACTTTAACTAATAATCAAATCATGAAAATGCATTCAGATTCACTTTAATGTAACATTTGCTTAAAGATGTCAGATTTGCCTATACGGAGGTCTTAGAAATGATCAGGCGGGAATTTAGAATTTACCATTTACAAAAGACTTTAATCAAACTTAAAGCTTATTCCGTATTTTCTCTAAATTTACTTAAATATAGAACATCTAATGATTAAATTAATCTTTACCCTATTATCATATTTTTCATAAGTGATAAACAAACTTATTCAATTTAATATCATTAACAAATACATGGAAACAACTGAAAATTATATACATTTTATCAAAATTAGTATTTTAAACATAATTTCTTAATTAACCAAATGTTTAATATTTTATGTAATTTTAAATAATGTAAAAACATTTTAAAATTATATTTGTATAAATATTAAGTACATGATTGGTTAGTAACCTTTAAGTATATTATTATTTTTTTTTATTATTTTCCTAAATGTTAAAAACATTATAGGATTTTAATAATCTTTGTGAAAAACATTTTCATTTAATATTCATCACTGTATCATCAAATCAGAACATTTTATTATAAAATAAATGAATTTGTTTTTAAAATCTGTCCGAAACTCATTCCTATAAAATAGCATTCAATTCAAAAGCATTTCCTTTGATATTATAATTTGTGAATTTCTCTAACTTTTACTTTACTATACTTTTGTCAAATTGAATCTAAAGAATACATTATTGCATATAAAATACTGTATAATATCTATAAATGTATTATTATATATATGTATATTTAATATGAAAAGAATGTGCTCTTGAATTGCAAATAATATTTTGTTAAACATTAAAATATATGCAAATCATATCAACACTAATGCATAAATGGGTTCACAAGTAATAATAATAATGATATGATTGCTAATATTGGTGGCCATATATACATATCAAGTACTTTGCTATACAAGGAATAGTGTTTAAGCGCCGGATTCGCTATTGTCTGTCTTGACGTCAGGATTAGACAAACTTTTGAGTGGAAGAGTGTCTCTAAAAGTTGACAGAATCTCTCTGTTGTGTTAAATTCAACACTTCTTCACTTCTTATCGCAAATAATAGACTTCTTTTTGTGATCTTATTCTCGATTCTGTGGGCGATATCTACTCTAATATCACAACCAATCCTAATAACTATAAATATATTTGTCATTATTTAACACAAATTATTGTTTATATGTTAGTATATAAGGAACTAAAGAAACTAATCTTTGAAACAAACCTTTTAAATAGAAAACAATTGTCTGTTTTCTTAAACTAACTTTTCCATAGTTTTTACCATCATTTTTTAGGTAAGTTTGTAAAATGTTATCATTTTTATATAGGTGTTATACATTTTAAAACTATATTTATTGATTGTATTGATATTATATACCTTTAATACCTTACATTTAATAACCCTTTAAAATTAAAAATATTATGTATTAAACTAATTATTTTCAATAACTAAATTAGTTTGAAACTTATTGTACTAATTATAATATTATTTGAAGTATAGTTGAACCTGGATTAGTTTAGTATAAATTATTATGTTTTACAAATAGAATATTAAATCAAACATATATTATCATAGAACTAATAAACTCATTAGAATTATTAAATAAATTCTATATTAAAAACTCTCGTTTTCCCGAATGAATAATTTTATCACAACATTAATGTATATTAAATCTAAAATCCATAATATTTATTGAATTAAATTTATATAAAGTTGTATAAGCTTTACATAATGCTGTATAAAGTATAGCCGTTTTGTTTATTTGCTATGAATTTCCAATCTTTCATACATATAAATTTTCATATCTTTATTATTCCATACATTTAAATACATTATTTATAAAAATTGGTTTATATTTTAACTGTTAAATAAATTTTGTATTTCAACCACAAATTAAGAGAAATCCAGAGATTAACTATAGATTAAGAAATACAAAGAAATTTGTTTTATTTATTAAATTAGTGTATTATGTTATGTTTTTATTAATTTTATAAGAATAAGCTTATTTTTAACATTATAGACTTCCTTTATTAAACCTACGTTTTCTGTGTTTTGGCTATTTAATTATATAATTTGATTTGCATATTATAACAATTAAATAAATCACTTTTAATTTTACTAATATTTAACAAAAAAAGGTTAAATATCAACAAAATTAATCATAGTCATTTATTATAATAATATTTTTATGTAAGAGTTGGCAAACATAAGCTTAGCCTATAATAATTATGATTTTTGTCTACCATATATTTACATTTGTTTTGAAAATATAATATTATCATTTAAAAGTACAAAGTATGAATTATAACTTAATGAATATAAAATTTTAATTATATTTATGTAACAAATAATTATTGATTATGTTATGACTGCAAATATATTGGGAAATAATTTTCAAATAATCCTGAAAAACGATAAATTCTGTCGGAATTTATATGTTTGTATCTTTCATTATTGTTTGCAATAATATTTTGTACCAAAAAAGCCATTCAATTGAAAGAATTGATAAAAAAATGTCTCATTAAAGAAAGTTCCTATTATTACCACAACTTTTTCTGTCCCTTTCGTTCTTTCTTTCTCTCATTTATCAATTGATTGCTATTATAAACAAAACTCAAATATTATTGTATTGTTAAGCACAGGAAATCATTAGTGATTTGAAAACAAAACTTTAACAGTACATTAATTTTGTCTAAATATAAAAACTAGAAAAATAATGAATATAATATATAAGTGATTGAAAAAACCTATATTTATCTCTTTTTTGTTTGACATCTTTCGTTGAGTTTGACTCAAAGATTTCAGGCTTTATATCATTCGCTATTTTATATCTTTCTTTCGTAAATATAATAAAAATATGAATTATGTGTTCACATAAACATCGCATTGAAAGCAAAGCAATCAATTAATTGGTAATTCAAATTTGTTATGTCTTTGTTATGTTACGACTGTAGTTATGTCTTGGATCGCGCAAATCATATCAATCGCTTGTATCATATTTCTGGCAAATTGTGCGGAAACTCACGGCGACGATAGGGCCGGACCTAAGGATAGTCGCGGACACTATAGCGTACGACGACTCGACTGTTCGCTGTTTTGTAAGAAAACCGGATTTAGTGGTTATGTCGGCGGCTGTCAGTGCGGGTTCACTCTCTTCGCCAACAAACGAAGTGATGCCAACAATATTGACACAAATGGGTGAGACTTTCAATCAATTATTGCCTTAAGACGCGAATTGGATATTATAATAGATTGCGTGGTTTTTCTATTCAACGAAATGCATTGAATTGTAACAAATTATTTATAAAAAATAAACTATTAAGAAATATATTTGTGACAATTTTGCATTCAAAACATATTTTTACGTTTGTTTGAAGAACATTGTGTATTTAGGCAAATCAATTTTGAAATATGAAGTTTGATTTTAAATCAATTTTACAACATGCAGTTCCTATTATTTACATAATACTGTATTACATAATTGCAACCAATTATAAATTATAAAGATACTTTATAGTATACAAGTTTGTATGATGAAATATAACATATTATGACTTTTTTCTATCTAAATAACATATAGATAAAACGTGAGTATGTATTGGATTTTTACTGTCGTGAGTGTGAGTGAAAACTTCTCATATTATCAACAATACTGTACAGTATATCCATGTAAAACACCAACGATAGCAAGTGTTATCTTATTATACAGTACATTGAGATAAATTTGCTTACAATATATGACTTTAATACAATTCAAGACTCTCTCAAATATTTCAATGGATTTTTGACACATTTTGTCAACAAAAAACATATTTCTTAATTTGATGCCCATTTATAACAATAATGATTGAAATATTGCATCTAACCAAACATATACTCTAAAATACTGGGCCAAATAATCACGTGTTTCCTATACCCTATAATGCAAGAATTTACACTTTGGGAATCTAAATAATGTCTATAAAATTTATTTAATAGTTTAATAATTCATTTAATGTAGATTTATATTCAATATTGTATTATTAGTAAATCTATTATATGATATAACTAACATAGGATTTGGTTTATTTTAAAATATAATAATTATATTAATTAATTAGAAACTTGTTTAAACGGGCGATAAAACTGTCTGTAATAATAAAATATGAGCATTGCGTCCAATTTTGCTGATATAAGTATATAAATGGAAAGAGATGTTAGTCTATAAATATAAATATTTAAGCGAAAACTCAATCCACTTTTAAGATTAAGCAAACTTAATGCTTGAATCCAATCGTAATTAACCTTTTTTAGTGTAATACTGAATAAGTATATCATAAGAAATAAACAAACATTTGAATGAATCCGCAAAACATTGGATGTCATTAATAGAAGAACTCAAAGAATATTAAAGTAGTCGTCAATTGATATGATCTCACAATAAACACAACAAAAAACAAAATCATAGCAATAGTTAAATAAAACAAACCGAGAAAAGCTATTTTAACTAATGTTTTGTTTCTTACATGTCTTGTTAGCAAACATTTATTTTATTTCTAATCAGACAAATGGAAATTTCAATTATTTATTGATTTGCTATATATCAGGAAAAATAAATAATATTTAAAAACAAAAATGACATGGACTATAATAGTTTGGATAAAATTAATAACTATTTATAAATAAATGTCAACCAAAAGTATAATATTCTTAAAATCTTATTTAATAAATTATATTAAAAGTAAAAATTATTTTATGTTTTCCGTTCTTAGAGGAAATTTTCAATTTCCAAATAATTTATGGCAAAGTTCCCAAAATTATGGAATAATGTTATGTTTTTATCAGGATACATTTTTGTCCATAGTCAGTTAAAAGCTTGCAATTTAAGTTACAATCTTTAACTTTATGGTCATAATAATAGAGTGAAAGTGAAACACATTATAAGTGTTAGGATTTTTAAGAACCCAAATATTGTCATTCTTGTAAAAACTTATCGTGAGATTAAATTTATATTTATAAGGATTAAAAATACTTCTCAATTATTATTATTTGTTGTATTGCGAGACTATTTTATATTTTTATTATTAATTTGGTGTTCAAAGTTAAATATAATACTGTTTGTATTTGTATTGTCTAACAATTATTAAATATTTAAAATAATTTAACAGCAAATCATAAACAAAATATAAAACTTATTATCAGATATTAATTGCTCTCGATTTGTTTTAAATTAACTTTTCCTTGATTATAGTTTCTTTGGCACTAAATTAAAAGCAAACAAATTGGCGAGAATTGGGTTAAAGAGTTCATACGGTTTTGGATCTAATCGACAGTCAAATGAGGACCAAAGCAAATATGGTTACGCTTTGAATTCAAGGTTTGTATTAATTATTTAAATTACTTTTAACTAATATTTCATATATTGTATTGTTTTGTTTCCCTTTTAGGCCAATCTATGGTCATCTCTAAAATAAATCCATTTTTGAATTGTTTTATGTTTGAAATACTTATTGTCATAACAATTAATATTAATAAAAACTGGAATATATTTAGTTTTATACAATAATTTGTTTGGTTAGACACTATTGTCAATGAAAATATTGTAATTCCGCATTTAAATAAATAAAATACATGAAAATCACTTAACAATCAAAAGTTTTTCTTTATCAACAAATTTAATTTAAATTAAACTGGTATTTATTTAATTATATAACTATAAATTTAATTGATAATAAATTTAAAGCAAATAAAGAATAACATGATATTTGTCTTAATATATAGCAAGTTAGTTAAATTTCAATAATAAATGTGCTTGTTAAGATTGAAATGTCAAATGTATAAGAATTGGCGATCGTTTATACGTTCATTTCGGTTATTTGCACCAAAATGTTGCGCAAGTATTGAAATGATTTGTAAATCAATAATTGTTTTGACCGAAAATAGGAAAAGAAGAAAAGCTATTTTATTAGTAAAATAATTATTAGAATTTAAATAATATAAAATTTAACCGTAATGTTAACATTAAAAATGGACATTTATTAATTTTAAATATAAGTTTTAGATAATAGTTAAATATAAATGACTCAAATTATTAAATGAGTATATATATAATATTTTTACATATTTATGTGAAATAAAAAATTAAATAAAAATGATATTAAATATAATATTGATATACAGTACTTATGAAACAAATATTTATGTTTTGGTACATTATTTAAATATCAAACAAAATAACGGTAAAAGCATTTACATAAATGTGTATAACTTATGCAACATATAAAACATTATTAATTGATATATTTATTGGTCTATTGAATGCCATTAAAGCTGATTATAATATATTGATTTGAATTCAGAATAAATTTTATTATAAAGCATTTCAAAGTTTGGGTAATTTTGAGGGCAATACTGTTTTTTGCGACACAAAACTAATGGATTTAATCAAATGTCAAATCTTTCCCTAACTGTACATTCAATATATTTTTTTTTGCATATTTTTCTAAATTTTTGTCGTAATTTAGTAAAAAATATGTACTGTTTTTATATGGTTTATATGTTTGTATGGTTTATATATAAAATATTTATAAATTACAGGAAAGTATACATAACATAAAATTACAAATAAACATAAAATAAGAAATAAATTAAAATTAACTATAAATGGTTAAAAATGTTCACACAATTAACGCATAATTAAATTATAATCCATTTTGTGTTTTGTCGATAAATGATTTCAGTAATGTCTGTAGTTTTCGCACTTCAGTACTTGAACTAAATTGATCATCGTTATCTGCAAATTACAAATTAAATATTTATATTTTTATAATCATTTATCATATTTTAATTAATAACAATTAAACAATATTGTCCATGATTATTCTGTAATAAAATTGAATTTGTACACAATCTAAATTTTAAATTTTACGGATTAATTGCACCAAATGAAAGTAATTTTTTCTATTCTATTTATGTTGGTTAAATAATAAATATATTTTCATATTAAATACTTAATGTTATTATTATAACATTTTAATGTGAAGTTTAATTACAATCCGTACAATATTGGTGACCAACACTCATCTTAATACTAATTTTATGATTTACCTGAAAATCACATTTTATTTAATAATATGGTAGTATATCACATGACTTAAAATGCATATGCAGTATGTGTTGCAGCTTTTAATAATTTAATTATTTACTCATTAAAGTGCCTGGTTTCATCTAAATAACTATTTATAATTTATAAACGTATTTTATAATTAAAGCTATTTAAAATTTCATTTTCATTATTTAAGATGGTAAATAAATTATATTAAAATATATAATAAGGTAAAAGCGAATAATATATTTTCAAATCGCTATCAAAACAAATTAATTAAAATTAACTATTTTTAAAATTATAAATTATTATTTTGAATATAACCTCAAAACATGCATAAAAATAGAGATTCTTTATCTAAATATCAATCATTTCAATGAGATATCCATAAAGTGTTTTGATCTGTCGGTGCCTTAAGATGTGATGAGAAGTCAATGACAACAAGAAGTCATAATTACCTTCGAGTGGAAAGGAAGCAGTTTTTGAGTTGTCTTTCTTCGCTTTCAAGTCGTGTTCATTACTGGCGTCCAAATCGTCGGTCGCTTTCCTCTCCAAACCTGTCATTGAATTCTCCAATTCTTCGCTGTTTTTGTCGTTATATTTCTGAAGCAATGCTTCGATTACTTTACGATTATATGATGAATGCGGAGGAATCTAAACACATAATTCACGAAAACTATTTATACTTACATTTTACATATTAAAATAGAAAGTAACACACTTTGCATCCGAAATATACAACACGATTGCTAAATATATTTTCAGAATTAAAGTGATAAAATCAAATATAACAACACTTACCAAAGACCACATGCTATTATCAGCCCTCCGACCCATTCTGGGAATGGATTTTGATCCAGTTTTGGTAAAAAATTGTCCATTGATTACAACGATTAACTCGATTAATAAAATGGTGCCGAAAATTAACTTAATATGAGATAAAGATTGCATTTTTTCAAATCGATCACAGAAACCAAATCTAATGCAAAAAATAACAAAAAATGTTTAAAACTTAAGCCAAGTTTGCAATAACTTTACAATAAAAATAAAGATTTAAAAATAATTTGAATCACTTCTCAAGAGATTAATAATTTTCACAACAGATATCTGAATTGAAAAGACACCGATTGAAGACACAGACACAAAGTGTCGACAATTTGACTTTTTATGGCCAAACGTGAAACAAGCCTTGTTTAGAGCTCAACAACATTTGGTTTTTTTTATAAAAATAAATATTGAATTTTTAAATTATGTTATGACAATCTTAAGGACACGTCCTATTTGACCATTACCTCCATTTACTAACCCTTCAATACAATTAACACCTTCTTCAAGGAGAGACAAACTATATTTTACTTTATTTTTACATTAGACGTCAAATTTTCCCATAAACTAGAATTTCTTTGATTATTATTAGAGCTAATTATTGAAAATTTACATAAAAGTGATCAAAAATAATAACCATTTGACAAATGAAACTAACTTTGAAAAGTCAAGGATTTAAACACTTGTTTTTGAACATTCAATCTATTTGTCTCTCACTTCGAGTTCATCAATAAAATTATAAAAAATATTTTTGTTTTTAAAATTCAAATTTTTACCGAAAAAATAAGAATATGTTTGTAGTCTTGAAAAAGTGAAATGACTTTACCTTAACATATATTCGGCGAAAAGTATTTTTATTAACAAATCATAAACTATATTATTATTTAATTTAAAGCATTACTTGTCTCCCAATACACACCACAACACACAAGATTTGTATTAAACACAAAACTAAATACAAAACTTTATAAATAGTATATAAATTGTACAGAAAAACGAGTCGAAAACTTTATAGCATTGAATTTTGATGTCATGTTAAGCTTAAACACTATTATTGGCCCAAATTATGCGTTTTTATAGTGAAAATTTGTTTGGTTTAACCTTCTTTGAATCTATCCTATAGAATGGTTGTGTCTAACGATAAGGACAGTGCACTTACCAGTAAATAAAACTTATCAACAAAATAATTCTTTCCCTTATTTTTTAATTTATAGCAAATTTTTTTTGGTACGATTTTTATCACAAACAACTCATCCCTTAAGTGAAGTCATTGATAACCCAAAGCTATTACTACTGTATATATCAAATATCTTGGTATTAAAATATCATATATAATGGCATTGAAATGCATGTATAAATAAAAACTAAAACCTAATATCATTAAAATAAATGCCCAAGCAATATTTGTCAAAAAAATTAAATCAAGTTCAACAGCGATCGAAAGAGACAGTGCTTTAGAGATAGTGATATACATTATATGAAAATTACATTTTTAAATAACACTTACCATAGAATTTGCAGACAAATAATACACAAAATAATTAACTTTTTTGTTAACGTTTCAATCAAAGCTCAGGTCTAGAAATATTGAGTGATTTAAAAGTAGGTATAAATGAAAATCTCTTTATTTTAATGACTGGTAACTGAGATTTGTTTTCAAAAACAATGTCTGATTTGAAAGTAAAACAATAGTAAATTGATAAATGTAACTGCTGATGATCGAAAGAGATTAAAACTTATTTTGTAGATGTTTTCTCAATTAAATCGACTCAAAACTATCAACAAAATTACTGTAAAAATACAAATTTTTTCGTGTTTGACGTTTCGATAGATGTCTTATACCTTATAATCCAACAAAAGCTTTAAACCATAATTACAGGCATTGAGCAGATTTGATGAGAGGTTTATCTCTTGACGATTTAGTTTATTTATATTTTTTAAAATACAAAATTCACAGTAAAAAAATACTTATAGTGTACGTTAAAAACGCTGTTTTATTGGTAGACTAATGAGTATTTACTTATTAGACATTCAGAGATACAAATAGTCGAGACATCAACTGAAGAGGACAGACAACGTATTCATTATGTTATACGTAATGCAAAGTTTGGTCTAAAATAACACTGTTTTGGGCAACAAATAAAAATCACCGCTAATGTGGTCGTAATACTGAATATGGCTTTTAATTGTAACCAATAAATGAACGTTTGGTTTAATTAAAGGGTTTTGGAAAAATTATATTAAAATATAAATTTCTAATTTATTAAAAAGCGAGTAAAAGTTAATTGCATGTAAATTATCAGTTATGGCCATTAAATGCGGGCTTTCATTAAAATACTTATTAAGACTTTCAATTAATTATTACATAAGAGAGGCTTATATAAGGAAACTATTCATAATTATAAATGTTGTAAAATTATCACAACATTCACTAATTTACATAAAAACAATAAATTAACCGCATTTTAATAATGCCTATTCTAGAACCCGGAATAGACCTTCGTATTGTCAAGAGATTATAATTATACAATTGCTTTATTATATAACTAAAATAAATTAATATTTACAGTCTAAATTTTAGACTATTATATTAATGTACTAATTTAATATGTTAAATTTTATCATTTATAAAAATTTATATCAATAAAACGTGTACTTATTTGATTTCTATTGTTTTCTGTTATTATTTCTATCAATTTTAGTATAATTCATATTAAGATTTAAATATACAATTTATATTTGTTAGAATTAAAATATTTTAGTTAAATTTGTACTATTTACTGTATATTAAAAAATTTAAAATTTTGATTCATTAATGAAAAACAAACTGGCACAGTTCTTTGAGTCTATCATCTTAATAATCTAAATGTATATTTAAATATATGATTAAACTACTTATAAATAAATAAATAAATATAATCACTATATTTAATGTATATTTAAATAAGTTTTATTAATATAAAATATGTTTATAGGAATATTCTAGAATTTACGTTAAATTGATCACGTAAACAACAAATGATTAATTTTATTTATTTTCAGAGTTTCTGGAAAATATTTACTAATTTTGCTTATCTGATCAAAAGGTTTAACTAATATTTATGCCTAATTTAATTTAATTGTTTGTAATAGAGGCCGATAGAGTTGGCCACACTCTTCGTGTTCAGAGTTTGATTACTGAAAATATTGTTAACAATATTATATATTCTTCAATATATTGTCATTTAATGTTAATTGTATTCTTGATTTGTGCAAAATTTATTACAAATTATTAGCAATTTTAAGATAGAAAACATGATTTCATAAAAATATATTTGCACTAAAAGAGTGCAATAATATTTATGGCTATGAATACATGTGTTATTATTTTAAATACTGAATAAACCTTCACTTTCAATGCATTCTCAATGAAAACACTAACGAATTTTAATGTAAAATATGGGGAAAAACGGATTATAAAGTATAAATAAATATACATATAGTAAACAAATGATTTCATTATAAATTTTAAAAACATTTATCAAATCAATACTTTGAAGGAATTTTGTTTGGGTAAAAAAATTAGCTTATTTTGAACGTGTGTTTCGGGAAAACCTTCAGTTTATAACTAATTAAAAACCAGTTGATTGTTCTCCCATTGAGTTCAATCACTCTTTCAATCCGTGATTTCTAATTTCATTTCATTAAATCTAATCTCAAAATTAAATCTATTAATTCCACTAAGATTTCTCATTAATTTAATATATTTTAGTACTTGGTTTATTTAATACAGTACTGCTTGAGCTGAGCCGTAGCTTACATTAAGTCAAATGCTTGTGATTTACACATTTAAAAGGAAAGTGTTTTGTTTTCAATAATAATTAAAACATTGTTAGTTAATAAAAACGATATATGATATACGGGTGCCGTTATTGTTCATTATTGGCCAATCTATTTATTGATTATTTTTATGTAACAGACAAATGAATTTTAAAGAATATAACACAAAGTTAAACCCATTTATTAATAGTATAATCCATAATATGATATATAATAGTAAACTTAAAATTTATATAATATTTTCAGAAAAAATTAACATAAGTTTTAATAATTATAATAAATATTGAATTAATTGTTCGCTTCGTTTATCTTCGAGATCCAGGGATTGCAGAGTGGGATCAGATTGACAACCGCTTCGCAAATGCCCATCATTTCCTCTGCACCTGAAAACAGATTGTAATTTCATTTTAACGATAAAATTATTCTTTAATAAAACACATTTCAATATACAATTAAAAATCACTTACTATTTATTGGACGATCGGCTCGTTTACCAAAAATACTGCCATTGAATGGGGGCTTACGATAGCCGGCGTCACACATACCAAACACCATTACCAGCGCTAAGATAAGGGCCACCAAACCCACAAATCTGTGCGAAGACATTATGTTGTAGTTTATGGTAAATCTTTGAGACGTTTCAAAAAAGCTGAATCTGTTGTCAAGTAATGAATAGCGAAGTCCTTCTGCACTGCTTTTTATACATTTTTACGTAACAAAGAAAAAACGGCACAAAATGTTGATAGTATTGGTGGCAAACAATTGGCCACTAATTGAGTTTCAATATATAACTAACATATCGTGCAAATGAATATCATATGAATCTCTGGAGAAATCTATGACAAAATAGATTCCACGCATATATTCATTAAATTCAAGAATAAATATTGTTTTAGTGTTGAAATTATAAGGCCATCAACGGCTGGAGTCTCGTCTAAATTGGTTATTAGATTATAAGATTCTGTGTCTATTAGTCCTACCAATCCTTTGGGTAATGAATCCAAACAAATGAATTACAAGACGAGAACTAAAATAGTTTTGGTTAAAAAACAAACAAAAACAGCAAAAAAGATACACGTATTTTGGTTAATAATAATATAATTTTATTATTTTACTATTGATTACAAGTCATGTCATGTCATCTCATGTCAACTGCCCATACATTGAAGTTATTTTTTCTTAAAATACATTACAATTTTGTTACAATTTATTAAATAAAACGCTTTAAATAACAAATTCAAAAATTACTACAAAAAACATCTCCGATTTTCATAAACAAGTAAAACAGAGATTTCATATTCAAAATTATAATATAATTGTTATCTGTATTTAAAACACAAAAACTAATCCTCAATCAAACGAGAAATTAGTTTTCAATACTTAGAATTTAATTTACAAATAATCCAAATAATGGCTAATGAATTGAATTTTTGTTTCAATCATTTTTTATTTCATACTATTGTTTGTTGACTTAGAGTCTCATCATTTTGTTGTGACTTTAAATTTAGTTTTTTAAATGACTGCTAAATAATTAACTCAATACTAACTCTAAATTATAGTTGAATAAAATATATATTAACTAAAGGTTTGGACAAAAAAAGTTAATTCTCACAAATAGGGGGTAATGCCAGCAAATGACCGCTCGTATAACGCTTTAAATTTGTTATATTATAATCAATATATGATTGAAACAGAAATTTACTTATTTTTATACAAAATTATAGTTTAAGACTTACAATTTATATATTTATTATATATATAATTATATATTAATAGGTAAAGAGCACACAAAAATCAAAAGCTATTTATCCACAATAGCTTTTCAAATATAGCTTTTACATCAATAGGAATGCATAAAATTATTTTTTTGTATTACTTTTACAATTATTACATTAATAATAATTGGACGGAATTTATATATTATTATTGAATGATTTGTATTTCACGGAATCATTCAATAATTTAATTGGTTTTTGTTGTGTTTTAAATCAATAGTTTTTTTTAATGAATTATACAATTTTAAAAAGTTGTCATTTGAAAGGAAATACCAATTAAAAGCACTCATTGTGTTATCGTCTCGACTCATAAAAACATTTTAAGGCAATAATAATATTAAGTATTATTGGTTTTTTGTTTACTCTATGTAATCAAATTTCATTTAATTATTTTCACTTAATTATGTGATAATAATTAAATTATTTTATAATAACATATTTTATTAATCCTTAATTTTACCTATACTTTCATAATTACCCATAAATTTAAATAATTATTATTTATGAATATTTCACTGTAATTTCAAAGATTATATAATAAATATAATTGATATTTAATAGTAGTTTAATTTGTTTAAAAACATTAATTAATTCTAATATTTAAATGAAAATATAATGACGAGAACAAGAATCAAAAGTTAAAAGTAATGGATTAGTCATGAATTGAATGGACATTAAGTTTTAGTCAATGGTTTTAATAATTGTTTTTCTCAAATGTTTGTTCGTGTTATAAAGAATTCTGTTATTATTTGTATTTTTATTTATTATACAATTTAATTTCTTTTAATTAATCTAAAGATTTACTAAAAAATTCAATATTAATAAAGTTAGTTGTTTTGACACAATATTCAAAGTATTGCTCGATTAACGCATTTTTCGCATAAAATTTTAATTATAAGTGGGTTTAAAAGTATTAACAGTGCATTAATGAGCAAGGTCACTTTCATATGCCAACTTTAATGCAGTTGTCTTTACAGATTTACCAATTGATTTAGTTTTCAAATAATTTTTAATAAAACACGAATACATTCGGTGTTTATATTATTAGTTAATTGAAAACAATTGATTATTTACTAATCAATGATAATGTGAGCACCGAATGAAACACATCTTATATACCGATTATAAAGTATACGAAGAATTGTTTCAATATATTCTCAATTCATTATACTTTTGTTTCCTGTATTTACAACAGATTTAGTGTCAAAACTAATAATTAAGATATTATTACCAAAAAAGGAAATAAGAGTAGAATTAGTAAAGAAAACTGTAAATACATTAAAATACAGTATTTCTAGTTATAATTGAGTGGATTATAATTGAGGAGATCTTCATAATTGAATAAAATACTACAAAAACTTAATTATTTTGAGCATAATTTAGATCTAATATCAATGGAATGTATGTATTGATGGGGTTTTAGTCCATGTTTTCATATGAAAAGTGGTTTACATTTCCTGTATATTTGTTTTATATAAATAATTGGAAAAATGATTTTTAAACTTATCGTATCATTAAATATATATTTAGCATAAATAATATATTTAAATGATGATTAAGTTTATTAAACAATTATGTACTAATGTAAAAATTAAATAAACTTTTTTAAATGATATGAATTTCACTCATTTATGGCTGAGTTTTAGATTATACCCAAAGGTATAAAGTTTTGTAAAAAATAATATAATATAAATATTTAAAAGAACTAAACAATTATATATAGCAATAATATATATAAATTCTCAGAAAAATTATTAATTTTATAAATGATGCTTAAAACAATTTGTTAAATGAATAATTTGAAAACAAATATAAATATTATATATTTTACTTTACAGAGAAAACAATAAAAATTAAATAAAATTTCATATGTCTTAGTTTAGCTTTAATTTAATTATATTTCTAAAAACATTTTTAGCTAATTGTTTAGAAATATTGTTTAATTTGCAAACTTTATGTCTAATTTGTATATATCTCTGAACACAATCTGTAATTCAGTAAATAATAATTTGTTTAGATTATTATTTCTTTGCTATAAATAATTTATATTAAGTAAATTTCAAGCAATTAATATACGAATGAAATAATTATGAAATATATAAATGAATATAATTTTTGGACAAAACAATTAATTATTCATCGATTGTATTGAAAATTACATTTATCTTTAAAAAATTAAACAACTGATAAAATAGTGTTGATTATAACCGATTGCATAGACAATAAACCACAGAAACATTTAATGATAACTTTTAGACAGAAAACACTGCTATTTCACTATAATATAAGCAAACATTGAAAACAATCGGCAAAGAATTTGGTCCTTTATTTTTGTTGAGGGAATGATAGTTAAAAACAATACGATTTCAATACAATTAATGGCAATACAATGCCAAAGGATTATCGCATTTGTTATCTGAATAGCAAATTATCAGTCATTCATTTTGAATGTCGTGATAATAATTAATATAAATTGATATGTCTTTCTTGTTTTTATAAATTCATGTGTGTTTTTCACACAATCTATTTATATTAATATCACTTTTCTTATCATTTGTTAAAATGAATTTATATTCATAATAATATGTGGGAATGTTATGCATAAAACAAATATGTTTTTTGTTTTTCTTCACAATTGGTTACAATAGGTGTGAGCAATAATAGGCACACACCAGACACACAGGTAGTGCCCACACAGTCATCACTTTGGCTGAGAATAAATGATTTTTCATCACCAAAAGAGATAAACAAAATCCATGTCTTCGATAATGAATAGTCGATTCGAGACAAAGAGTTGTGTCGTTTGAAAAAGTCTACTGTTTTGACAAATTTTCAACAATAAAATCAAAATTGCGGATAACTTTCTTTAAAATTTTGTCATTTTTTAGCTTAAATTACATTAATATAATTAATACACTAAATACTGCATAAAAATGCTTTGATATTAATGAGATATGCCTTCATTTTTTTGTTGATAGTTTAGTAGTTGTGTTGTGTTGTGTTGGATGTGTTTTGAAACAAATTTTATATGTAATTTTTTGAGTTGAATATTATAATTGTCATTAAATTTAAGTGCTTTGAAATGAATATCATTCCCGCGAAACCTATGAATATGGGGAGAGAAAAATTGAAACAATTATTTTAGTACATTTGTTATAAAGTAATAATTTAGCAAGATTAATAATGAATTCTCTACCAAACAAGTGTTTTATTTTGATGGAGTGTTTGATAACATAATCAAAATGCAAAGATTCATTGGATTAACAGATGGTCAATATCTTTAATAAATGGGATTAAATAATATTTTAGTGCAATTTAATTATGTTTACCAAAGAAATTGAAATTAAAATTTCAAAAATGATTAATGAATTTACGGAATACAGTAGAAGCTCTCAATCGGTTGGGATTTAAGGGGACAATAAATGGGACACAATTGCGAGCAAAACAACATATATTCAAGTAATATAAATATAAAGTAACGAGAATTAATGGTCTGAAGAAATTGTTAGAAAAACTACTTTATTATGATTACAATATTCTGCATAAATATAATGCAGTTTTTGATGGCATTAAACAAAATAAATATATAAACTAAAGAAAGAGAGAAAGAAAGGCAGAGAGAGAAAGAGAGAGAGAGAGAGAGGCAGAGAGAGAGAGAGAGAGAGAGAGAGAGAGAGA